AGGCAGATCAGTGAAGCACACTGCCGAGGGGAGCAGCGGGCGGGTCAGCAGAGGTCTGCCGCGCCATGTGGTCGCCTCCGGGGCAGGCGGGAATCATGCGGAAGCGGCTTCAGCTTCCCAGTGCTGTGCTCTAACCCACTGCACCACCAGGGAGGGCCGCTCTCTGTTTTCTTAAGTGACATTTTATTTTCATCACTGTCATCATCACGATCTGCATTTGAAGTTTTATTATGGAAGATTTCCAACAGACACAAAGGGAAAGAGACTAGATAAGGAGCCTCCGAGTCTCCCTCACCCAGTTTTACTCTTAGCAATGTTTTTGTCAACCTTGACTTCCCTCATCTTGTGGACTATTGGGAAGCATCCCAGCATCAAGCCGGTTTACCCCGTGATTCTGGTACGTCTCTGTTACATGCAGAGGCTTTTTGGAAGACACAATCACACACATTGTCCCTTAGTAGTTTCTTGGTATGGTCTAAAAACAAGCCAGTGTTCAAATTCCTGGTGTTTCTCAAAACTACCTTTATATGTTGTTTTGTTTGAGTTAAAATCCTAAGTTGGCATCTTGCATTGGAAGATGTATCTCCTAAGTCTTGCTCTTCAATACATTTTTATTTGAAGTTTACAGTTATGTCTCTTTTCATCCATCACATTCTGTCTTTACTTTCCTATGCCCTTGTTTGTTGAAGAAACTGAGTCACTCTGAGTCATTTGACCGGCCAATACCTCAACATCATGAAAACAATGTTGACGTGTCTCTCTCTGGTGACGCTGTGAACACACTGGAAGGCAGATCTAGGTGATTACACCTAGGGCCACTTGGCTTTCTTCTTCAGGGAAACCTACCAGTAGGGTGTGCATCATCTCGGGAGGTATGCAATGGCTGTTTCTCTTGAAGGGGATAGTTTCAGTTTCCACCTTGATGAAAGATGTTTGCTATGTTTTTTTTTTTTTTTTTTTTTTTTGGTAGCTACCACCTATATTTTAGGTTGAGAAATTGTTTTAGTCTAGATAGATAAGAGTTTTAGGGAGTCATGAATGGATGGTTAATCGAAGTGCTTTTTTCTGCTTCTGTTTATCTCTTTTCCTGTCCGGTTTTGTGACACAGTTTTCTCTCCTCATAGAACCCACCGGGGAGGAGCCTGTTTCTTCTGCTCTCTGGACAGTTGTGCTGGAATTGTGTCTTTGTGTGTTTGGTAGAGTTGTCTTTAAGTCTTATTCTTTGGGCCTGGTCTTTTCTTTGTGGGGATGTTTGCACCTCTGACTCACTTTCTTTCTTTAATGGCTACAAACTATTCAGATTTTCAGACTCCTTAAGGTGGGTTTTAGTGGCCTTCATTTTCCTATGGCTTTGTGGCTTTGTTCCATGGAAGTTTTCAAATTCACTGGACTCAGTGTTGAAAATATTTCCTTCTAGGTCACCCTTCTCATCCCTCGCGCTCTTGATGGATGCCTTCTTTCACTTCCCTCGGTCACTATAGCCTAGGGTTTATCAATGTGATTCGTCTTTTCAAAGAGCCAACTTTTGACTTTTGAGCCTCTATTTGACATTTTCCTCTTCCCATTTCACTCATGTCTGTTCTTTATTAGCCTACCTTTTGCTTTCCTGACGTGTGCGCATCCTCAGGCTTCTCCAGTTGCTCACTTAGCTCATCCACTGTAACCTAACTCATTCTTCCAGTCTCAGAATCCAAGTACCGCCTTGGCTGTGACTCCTTATCTGCTGCGAGTTCATGTTTTCATTATGAAATAGCTTAAAAATAGTTCCTGTATCTATTTCAACTTAATTTTTATTCTATTTATTTTATTTACTTTATGGTATTTAATTTTTTTAATTATAATTCTTGACTCACAAACTTTGGGAAGTGAATTTCTATTTTTCTATTTTTATAATAGTTTATTTTGACATCATTTTGTGCCTTTCTCCATCTCAGCTGTGGACGTCCCATCACCACATCACCCGTGTGCCATCACCATCATCCCATGCACTCCCCACTCCCATTTTTGATCCCACTCCCTGCTCCACCCCCGTAAATGTCTCTGGTATATAGCTCTTCATATTATTATTTCCTCCCCGTCCCCCCCCCCCACCCTGGTCCTTTAGTTCCTGCTTGAACTTCTCTTTTTAATGACTTTTAACTGGGTGTGAATTTAAACCGAAACATAGTTTGTGGGTGTAACCTGAGTGTCACCACCTGGGTCGTCGGAAACCGAGAGCAAGTGCGATCATACTCTGTGCCTGGCTTCTCTTTAGACAATGGTGTGAGTGTAATCTGCGGCGGAGCTTGTGATTGCGTGTTTTCTCTCTGCCTCTGCTTCATCCCTCTCTGTCTTCCTCCTCCTTTTGAGTAGTTGTGTTCCATTTCACAAAACACCACTGTTTATTTATCCATCCGCTATTGACGGCTCTTTGGGCCGGCTCCAGTCTGGCGCCATCCTGATGAAAGCTGCTGTGAATGTTTTTGTACAAGTGCTTTCTGCGGATTCTGTTTTGGTTTCTCTTGGGTAAATACCTAGGGGTGGAAATGCTGAATCATGGGGTGAGTGCATGTTTACCTCCTAAGTGTTTTCTTTAGGGAGAATTAGGAATTCAACTTTGGAAATATATCCTGGGGGTTTTCAAGGATATTGTATTCACACCTGTAGTTGTGGTTTGTCAGGGCACTTGGTCTGGTTGAATTGCTGGGAACTCGGTGGCGAGGAGCCTGGGTTGCTGTCTGTAGGAATCCTAGAATGTCCTCTCTCTGACTCCTCAGTTCTCGATGTATTTCCTTCAAGTTTCAAAAATATCAACTTTATTTATCTTTTCCAATTCAATTTTCAAACTAAGTTCTGCCCATTTGATTTCCCACAAACTCGGGCCTGTTCCTTCCACACTTCCAAGTGTTCTCTGGGCCCTTCTTCTCTGTGAGGCAGCTGTGGGGTGGCCCTGGCTGGACGCTGTGGTACCAGCTCCTTGCTCACCTCCCACCACATCGCACAGTTTGCACTAAGTGTTCAAAACAATACAAAAGGACGGGACAGGTGATGGCAGCAACATCAAAGGCAGGCACTGCCCGGGCCCACCCTGGCCAGCTCAGCCCTGCCTGCTGGACGGCGCCGCGGGCTCAGCTCATGTGCCTTGGCTCCCACCTTCTCTCCAGGGCTCTGTTTTGACAGGTGTATCCAGGGCGGGCAAAGCAGACAAAGCAGACAGCCCCAGCTCAGCTCTGGCCAGAAAAAAAGGGGCCAGAGAGGGGTCTGGGTTCTCCCCAGTCTCCCAACCTACCCCGGCCCTGGGAAATAAGGGGGTCCTGGGGTTTTCGAGGTACCCAAAGGCCATGCCCAGGCTTGCAGCCTCTGGGAGCCCCTGGTTCTCTTTAGGAGGCCGGGAGCCCCTTCAAGGCTTTGCAACTGGGAGGATTAAAACAACTCCACACCACCGGTCACTAGTCCGGTGATAAAGCCCACTGTCGCTCACTGCCAGCCTGAGTGTCCCCGGCACACTCCAGGAAAGCAACCAAGCAGGAGAGGAGAAAGAGCGCGCAGCCTGCCTCTCAGGGCAGGGAGGACACAGGGGGAGACCTCTTCCATGACCCAGCAAGCGGGCGCCCTGGAGCGGGGCCTGCCGCGCTGACCTTGGCCTGTGGCCTTCAGAACCACCAAAGCAAAGTTTCCGATGGAGCTGAGACTGTCCACTCTGTTCTCTGAAGAAGGTACCGAAGGCAGAGAGGCAGTGCTGGGCCAGAGGCCCCCAAGAACAGCAGGCAGCGCGTGGCCTGTCCAGCCCCATGTGCACTGGACCACTGCGCAGCCCCCCGCCTCACTGAGCCTGGCTGCTGTCTGACGAGCCCTCCCCCTGGACACTTGCCCTCGTTTCCTCCGACAGCTTGAGGATCCCGAGATCAGGAATCCACCGCAGGGGGCTGTCCAAGACCTGGGTGGGCACCACCTTGTGCCTTGAGTCCAACCGCACCTGCACCCCACAGCCAGGGTGGTGGAGGCTGAGAACCTGGACCCCCGGGTCTTCTGGTGAGGTTGCCTCTCTGTTCTCGAATCGCTTCAGGTTTTGATCCGGGGCCTTGTCTCATCTGGCCCCCAACTCCTGCTTCCGGGAGAGAAGGGAAGGCCCCTCTTCTGCCAGACCTTCCCTTTCCCTTTCGGGGTTTGACCCCTCGTGTGAATTGGAGCCCAGGCCTGCTCTGCCCCGGGCCCTCCCCACCACCCGTCTCCTCCCTGAGCACCTTCCCGGCCCCTCAGCCAGACCAGCTGGTGAGGCCTCATAGCCTACCTGGGTCAGGGGCTCGCCAGCCTGGGCCTGTCTGTCTCCGGCTGGCCCCGTTTCTCTGAGGAGCCCCAACTATACACACCTCTTTCTCCCCCTCAAAAGGGCAAACAAAGCAAAACAGGGCTCGCGCTCACCCTAGTGTGTGACCCTCGGCCGTAGGCGGGGGGCAGGGGGTGGGGGGAGGTGAGGGGGATGTGGCCTCCCTCCCGGGAGGACACGGGGAGACCTCTTCCATGAACCAGCAAGCGGAGCGGGACCTGCCGCGCTGACCTTGGCCTGTGGTCTTCAGAACCACCAAAGCAAATGTCCACCTGTAAGTCCAGCAGCCGGAGAGCCTGACACCGACGCCCAGAGCCAGCCCGAGCGCGGCTCCCTGCTGGCCCCGGCCCTGTCCCCTGTCCTGTGAGTCCCCGGGGGCGTCGGCGCTCTGGTTTTTTTTGTCTACTGGCCTTAGCGACGACGGTGGAAGCAGGAGACATCACCTGGGTGTCCCGGCCTACTCATCCAATCTCGCTTTGGCCAGTGGGCTGGGGGGCCCTGCTCGGTGACCCCCAGCCCCCTCCGCTTCGGCCAGTGAGCTGTCAGACCCTGCCCCTGGCCCACAGGCCAGTGCGAGCGGATTAGACTCCACGGTGGGGCTGAACGCCTAGGGGACCCCCGTTCCTCCGGTGCCCTCAGAGGCCAGTGTGAAGCAGGACCCCACTGGGCAGAAAGGACCAGAAGACACGTCGCCTCTAGAAACAGCCGTTTACTGGGTCAGTAATACAATGTCCCACGAAGCACAAGAGGACGGGAGACTGGCGTGCAGCGGGGTGGGCGTGCAAACCAGTTGCACCTCTGTTACAGGAGGGAGGTGGCATCAGGCTTTGGGGTGGGGAGGCCTGGCTCTGAGGCCGGGTGGGGAGGAAGCAACCGCATGCCCGCGGGGGGGAGTCTGGCGCCTTGGGGTGAACCCCCCCCATGTCCCACCTCCAGTGTGTGGAGGTGGAGGGGGACAAGGACACGGTGACCGGCCGGGGGCATAAACAGGCCCTCCTCCTCTTCTGGCCCTGCAGCCTGCACAGGCCACTGCTTGGGGTCCCTGCGGTCAAGGTCAGTGGGCCGGAGGAGAGCCCTAGGGTCAGAGCGGAGAGCTGCCCTGTATCGGGGCCCCGTCTGCGCTCAGCCTGGCGTTCCCTGGTCCAGCAGAGGGCCCCCCCGAAGGGGGCACCCCTCCAGGGTGGCAGCCTGGTGTCCGGGCCCGCAGCACCTCGCGCCCGCCCCTGCCCTGCCTCCGGCTCCCCAGGGCTGGCACCCTTTCGGAGCTCGCTGCAGAGCCCGAGAGCGTCTCTGTGTGTGGCCCCCTGGGGTGCTCCTGCGAGGCAGAGGCAAGCGGGGAGCCTGGGATTTCCTGGGGCCCCTCGCCGCCGGTGCGGGGTCCCGAGAAAGGCGCTGGGTGCGGCTTCCTGTGTGAGCAGGGGTCGTGGCCTGCACCAGTCCCCTGAGTTGAACCATAACCCCCTGAAAAGCCTTTCCTGGGTCTGCGACCAGAGGGGCCAGGGCAAGTGTGGCTGGGGTGGGGGTGAAGACGGGGAGGGACCAGGCTTGGTCACCGATCAGAGGCCGTCGCGCCGTCCTCCCGAGGTAGCGGCCGCCCAGCGGGCTCTCACAGGAGCGGGTGGGCCTCCGCCCCTCCTCCTGCCCGGCCAGGGCAGGCCTGTCGCCCTCCTGGCCAGCAGGGAGATGTGTGTGTGTGTCTGCTTTCTTTGGCACAGTCACTATGGGGTGCCCGAGGTTTGCAGGAGGCCTGGGGGCGCCCATCAGGATGAAAGCACCACACCTGTGGGTGCAGCTTTCTGGGGGGCATGAGCCCCCTTCCTGGCATCATGTGTGGCAGTGTTCAGGCCCGGGGACCCCTCAGTAGCGGCTCTGGCTTCCTGGTGGTCCTGGGGGCCCGGGGAGGCCAGGAGGACCCTGGATCCCAGGCTCTCCCTTAGGCCCTGTGGGTCCCCGCTGCCCTGGTGACCCCGTCTTCCCGGCGATCCCCGGTTTCCCCTGAGGCCCCGAGGGCCCTGGAGACCCCGGTGGCCCCTCGGGGCCAGGGGGTCCCACATCCCCTTTGGCGCCTGGCTGTCCTCTCGGACCCCCAGTTCCAATGCTGCCCTTCGAGCCTTTGAAGCCTGGGATACCTCGCAGGCCGGCTGGGCCTCTCTCCCCCATAGGCCCGGGGTCCCCAGGCTGCCCCTGCGGGCCCTGGGGTCCCGGGGGGCCCAAGTCACCAGAGTCCCCTTTGGGTCCTCTGCTGCCAGGGGGCCCTTTCACGCCTGCGTCTCCCTTGAGTCCTCTTGGTCCTGGAGGGCCGGGAGCGCCTGCGAGGGAGAGGAGAGAGAAGAGGTCAGTCCCTGGGGGGCTTCCCCAGGCAGTAGGTGCAGCCATGGGCACAGAGACCCCCAGCAGCCTTGGAGTTCGGGTGGGCTTTTCCGTTGGTGAGGCGGAGGTGAGGACGCCCGTTCGGGGTCCTGAGAGGTCCCACCGTCCCGACTGAGGGCCTGGCCAGAACACTCGAGTCGGGGAAGGGCTACGGCTGCCCGGACTGTGTCCTGCCCTCTGCAGAAGCTGGCCTGGCCTCCTTGCGGCCCCTGACCATGGTGCACAGCCCTGCCACCCCACCCCACGCCGGGCTTTGACCCCACAGCCTGTGTGGGAGCTGGGCTGCAGCCAGGTGGCTTGGGAGGGGCCCAGGCCGCGAGGCTTGAGAAGCAGGTGCCTCCCGGCACACGCCAGCCTCTCCTCTGAGCTCCCGGGGCTCCTACCTCCTGGCCACAGTGAGAAGAGTCACAGCGGGCGAAAGGCTCCCTGGGTGTCTGTCGGCCTGGCAGGAACCCCCACCCCCGCGCCCCAGCCCGGGCGGGAGCTGCGCTGGAGGGAGCACAGCATGTGCTTGAAGGTGAGCCGTGAGGGTGGACCCCTGCTCCCGCCCGTGGACAGGCCCTGGGAGAAGGGCCGCCTGAGGGCCGGGGTCGGATGGCCCGAGTGGCCTCTGGCTGTGAGGCCCAAGAGTCTCCCCTCTGAGCCCACGGCCTCCACCCTGGGGGCAGGAGGAGAGGGAACCTCGTGGCCGGGGCCTCGTGGAGAAACGGCTCTGCCTTCTCCGGCCACCAGCGAGGGCATGGCGGTCCTGGCAGGGCCCGTGGCAGGGTGACCAGAGCGGTGGGCGCAGGCAGGCCTGGAGGAGGGTGCCGTGCACAGCTCTCCCGAGGTGCCGCTCAGCTGCTTCCTCGATCTCCCAGGTAGGGGCGCCGGGCCCATCCCGCGGCTCAGAGGCGGCGACCAAGGCCCAGAGCCATGAGAGGTCCCCCAGGGGTCCGCTAGAGGACCCCAACACCCAGGAAGGCCTCTCAGCGAGAAGGGTCCCGAGTGGGCTTGTCGGGGCCCTCCCTGGCTGCTGCAGACCCCACGGCCGTGTATCCCCGCTGGGGGCTCTCCTGCTCCCCGTTGCCCAGCTCCCCCACACCCCGTTTCCATCTATTTTCTGGAGTGTTTCTAAGTGGAATGGAGGGTCGGTGAGTATTACCATCCGAAGCAGAAGCCAGAGAGCAGCCGGCCCGCCAGGCCGCACTCCTGCCACCAGCGCCTGCCCCACCGGGGGCTGTGCCCGCCCTCTGCTCACGAGGTGGGGGTCCCTCCCACAGTCCCTGGTTGTCGGGATGGCGGCCTTGGCAGCGGGAATAGCACCTCCCTCCTCCCCCCGCCTGGCAGGACTTGCTGGGAACTGGCAGACCGGGCATGGCCCCTGGGCCAGCTGAGCCGGGAGGCAGGCGCCCCCGGGGAGGAGAGCCCTGGCGGGGTGCGGGGCGGAGGGAGCTGCCGGCCTCCCGTCCAGTCGGGTTCTCCTCTGCAAGGTGGAGGCTGCACTGGCCTGCTCCGGCCCCCAGCCCTCCTTAGAACGTTGGCCCCAGTGGCCGGCCCCCAAGCCCACCCCAGCCTCGACTCCCGGACAGCAGCTGAGGAGTCTCACCTCCTCCAGCACCTGCAGCAGGCGCCGGGCACAGCAGCACCGCCGTTCCCAGAGTCTTTATGCCCGCAGAGAAGGGCAACATGGAGAAAAAGCTCCCCCACCCCTCCCCTCTCTGCCCCACTAGCCCCAAGAGGCTCCTCTTTCTGGGGAGCCCCGTGGACACAGGCTGAGCTTCTACCTGTTACTGCTGAGGTTAGTGCCTGAGAGGGCTCCCCGGGCCCCCCGGGATTAAGTCTCAGAGCCACCACCACCGTGGCTGAGTTCGATTCCCACCAGGGAGTGACCCACAGGGCACAGCAGACCTCTCCTGTCTCCCCGCTGCTCCCCTCAGCCGTGGATTTCAATGGAGCCACCTGTTCTGCTCCCCACTCTGTCTCTGGTGAATCCTCTTACCCCCTTGATCTCTGGCCTGCATGCCAGTTCTTCACACACCAAAAAAAAAAGGTGGGGATCCCCTCTCTTCATGCCCCAGCCACAGCAGCCACCGTGGTCAGCTGAGCTGCTGGGAGGAAGCTCTGGCCTGTTCGGGGGAGGAAGCCGAGAGCCAGGAGCTGGTGGTGGGCACGGGTGGAGGGTGGGCAGAGACGGGTCAGGGCTCTCCAGGGTAGGCGCCCTGGCACAGCCTGTCCAG